AACAAATAAATCTAACTGTTTATTATATCTAATTTCTTTAATGTCTAACTCTACTTTACCGTAGGTGGGATTTACTGATAACATGTGTGAAACATATTCTCTATTTAATAGTGTTTCAGTTTTTGAAGTTTTAAACAATTTAGACAGCAATAAACCCATTAAAACTGTAACATTTAAAGTTAAGGTTTAAAGTAATGAGGAATATTATGCGTTTTTTGGTAATAAAACTAATCTTTATAATTATACTGAATATTCACTATTATTTGAGGCATTTATTGGGATATCTATATGTATTGGTCTTTTATAATAGTAACATTCATATATAAAGTTAAATACTGTTAGCGCAATAGACAGTATAAACAACACTAAGCATATAAACATAGCGCATTAATTTAAGCACAATTGCATTAATTTAATAATCAATAAAATAAAAATTAAGAGTACATACCAATCCATAGTTAGTTCGTGCGAAAGTACTTATAAAATCGATACCACTGCGAACTCCACCAAATACAACATAACATATATTTTGCCTATATATGTCTGTATACGAGCGCTGCACCGAACTCGGGTTAGCGGCTGTGAAGGCTGTACCGGCCGTACAACTGGTCGTCAAAATGTAGAGCACTCTTCAATCACATCCAGTTGTCCCACCCAAGTGATTGGCCGATTTGGCCGATCCGGTCGGTACTGGCGTTTCTTGCGCCACCCTTTCCCCAGCACCAGTATAGTTGTATGAATTGTTATTTAACACACAATTTTAATTATAAAATAATATTACTTTATTGTTGAGTATCAAAATTAAATACTTAATACAAAAGTATAAAACTTAGACAAAATAAGTACAGTACAAAAGTACTAAAAACTGTTAAAAACAAAGCAAAAAAACTATTACAAAACATATACGATTATAAAAGACGACTACAATATCCAGACCCCGAGTTAGGGTCGGTTGACTCTTATATAGCTGGAGAGGGAGGTGTGGTATGTCATGCATGGGCTGATCTAAACTAACCAATTATATAATCTTAGCTACCAAAACTATAATATATATGTAATATATATTATTATGTTTTAATATATATTTATACATATAAATTTATATACTAGTATAATAGCGTAGGTTATACTAAATAATTAGGTTATTTTATTGCTTTTATATTTAATGTATAACTTAAATAATAAGTAATTAAAAAATAGCAATAATAAATTTAAAAATTTTTACCTAAATTACAGTTAAATAAGATTAATACTATTATTATAAGCTAGAAAATTAATTATTATTATAAACTATAATATTAATAATTATTATTATAAACAATAATATTATTTCAAGAAAATTAATTAATTAATTAATTAATATATATATATATATTTAAATACATACTGTATTGTAAATTATAACAATGATATTTATCTTTTAGATAAAATTGTATAAATTCATTATTATAATCATATTTTTGATTATTAATATCAATATTATTTGCAATTAGTTGTCTAATATCACTGATAGTTAGGTGCCATTTAGTTTTATTAGCCAGTACCATTTGACATGTATACCTATCTATTGTATTATGATCTAACATTTTAGCCAAAATTTTATACAAATTATCATATAAAAAACTATTAGTTGAATAAGTTTGTAATCTATAAAAAAAATAAAATAAATAAAAAATTTTATCATGATAAATTTTAATATATATAAGGGACTGCTCACATATTACGTTCGCACTTTTTAGATAAAATACAGACCCCCGCTCTCCCCTATGTTCGTAATTGTTTGCATGTAGTCATTTAAAAAATTACCTTTAGCATATCCCTAACTTCTAACCCCCCCCCCTATCCACCGCAAAAAATAAAATATTCAAATGAGAACGTTCATAAAGTTTCTTTAAAAAAGATATATTTAGTAAATAATTAAAATATTTATAACTTTATTAATAAATATTTAAAAAATTTATAAAAAATAATAACAATAATATTGAAATAAAGAAAATATAAAGAAAATGTTTTTTAAATTATGAGAATTATAAATACAAATACAGTTTAAATTAATTTAAAACATATAATTATTTAAAGAAAATATTAAGCACTTAAAAAAACTATTATTGTATTTATTATAAATTTATACAAATTATATTAATTATTATAAATTACAAATAAATTATTGTATAGTATTTATATATATACAGCAGTGACACCCAATATACAAAAATGATAATTTTTTTTAAACATTTTTTTATAAAGCTATTTAAATTAGAAATAACATTAAACTTTACAATTGTATTTAAAAATAATAATCAATATTACTATTAGTTAAAAATTTATATTAAAAAAATAAACAATAATTTTATGCTATACTATAAAGAAATTTTCATAAAAATTAGTATAAATAAAAATAAAAATAATAATTTCTTTATAGCATTTAATTATTTTTACTAATTAAATAGTTTTTTTTAAATACAGATATATTATAGATTTGATTAAAAATAATTTTTAGTACATTTAAAACAATTTAAATTTTTTTTTTTATAATATATTTAAATATATTTAATATATATGCGATTAGTTGACTACTAGTTAAGACAGATATGCCGATCCACATACCAATAGTACCACCGATTTCATAGATCAGATCATTCATATCCATAGCTAACTGTTCAGTGATTTGTGGCATCAATGAGTTTACGGGTATTATATTAATTGCCGTATAGTTGAGACCACCCGACTTACCCGCCATTGTTGTTGAATAACAAAAAATCAGTCATTATTTTGAAACATCGACCACTTATTTGTTGCAAAAATTTTTTGTTTTGAATAGATTTATAACTAATTGAATTGTTAATAGTTTTCCAATAGTTATTAGTTAACGAAAAGTTTTTATTTAATTTTTTCGGATAAATCTATTAATTGATATTCAATTGGTAAGCAATCAAAATAATTTTAAATACATTGTATGAATACATTTTAAAACTAGTGCTAACTTTTTTGTTGCCATTATATTAAACGATTCAATGGTATGTCTAAATAATTTTATAGATAAATATTGTCCACATAATAGTGATAATTAATTTTTGTTGTTTCAATGTAATCATTATTATTGTTAGTATTGATTATTAACTAAATTAAAATTAATTAATAAAAAATTAATAAAAATATTTAAAACACAATTTATTTACTTACTTTTTTTACATAGAATTGATGTTATAATAATTACTTTAATTTAATAAATATTTACTAAATAAATAGTATATAATATTTTTTTTTATATTTTTTAATAGTAAATTAATAATTATTAATAACAATTATAATAATACTGTTTATAAACAATAAAAATAATAATAATAAAGTAAATTAGTTATTATTAATCTTATTTAACTGTAATTTAGGTAAAAATTTATTTATTTATTATTATTACTATTATTATATACACTAAATATAAAAATAATAAAATAAACTAATTATTTATAGTATAACCTACGCTATTATACTAGTATATAAATTTATATATATATATATTGTTTTTATGATAATAATAATAATAATAATAATAATAATAATAATAATAATAATAATAATAATAATAATAATAATAATAATAATAATAATAATAATAATAATAATACTACTACTACATTATATGAAAATATTGAATAAATAATTAATAAATGTTTTATTGAAATTATATCATTTATTTAGTTACAATATACTATAAATAATACAATAAAAAAAATATAAACTTAATATTTTGCAAATAATTACTTATTTATTTTTTTTAATTAACTAATACTAAAAATAAACTAAATTTAGTGACAGTTTGTATCAGACATATAGATTGTAAATATATATTTTTTTTAATGAATTATTAATATTTTTGTTGTGTTTATTGTATTACTAATTTTTTGTAAAAATAATATTTTCTTAAAATATTTTCCTATAAAACAAACATTATTTAAAAAATACTATAATTTTATTATTATCTATTTAAAACTATAAAAAATATTGTATTATTATTTAATTATTATTGTTTTTAGTTAATATCGATAAACAATTGCATAACCATTAAGTTTGCTGTATATATATATTAACAACTGATAACACTATTGAATGTCAAATATTCAATATTAATGTATTTTATATACAAATTGTTATGTTTTAATTAATATATATAAAATAATAATAATTATTATTATTAACTTAAAATAACTGTAGAAATAATTATTAATAGATTATCATAATTATACTTTTGATTTAAATTATTTAATCTAAACAATTAAAATTATTTATTTTTTAAAAAAAGTGTTAGTTATAATATCATGCAAAAATATTAATTGATTTAGATAAATTAATATTAATATGATATTATATTTTATGTATAATTATACCTGTATATATATTTATACAATCAATTGTTCAAAGTTAAGTGTTTTCAAAAAATAACAGTAAATATTTTATTTTTAAAATTATAATTTATTACATACTTTGAAGTATACTTAAATAATAATAATAATAATTTACTATCATATAAATTTTAATAGACATATCATATAAAAAATAATTACTAATTAGTATTGTGTTGCTATTGTATTGACAAATATAATAAATGCAGTACTTTATATAATTAATACTTGAAATACTTATAAACTTGAAATAAAAATATATATATTTAATATATATATATATATATAGTTTTAGGATGTATAGTGTGATATCTCAATATTTATTAAAAGTATTTTTTTGTAAAGTGATTTATTTTTATTAATTATCACTAAATTTAGTATTTATTGATAACTAAAAATAAAAAAGTCTATAAAGTATTCAAAAACAAAAATTTATTAATTTAATTTCACTATTTAATTGTTTTGACTCTTATTTCAGATTTGAAACCTTAATTAATTATATAATTAATTATCTAAACTATTTTTTTTAATAAAAAAAAATATTAGTTAATTAATAAAGTTATCAAGGTTGAAATTTTTGTTGATGAAAAAAAATAACTTATGGATTTAGTTATAGATTGGTATCAATTGAACAATGAATTTGAGCCGGTAGATATATTGGGTACCGGTACATTTGGACAGGTAGTTAAAGCTAAATATTTGCCTGATAAACAATTTTATGCTATTAAAGCCATACATTTAGCTGGTAAGTAAAAATTTACTTTTTTTTAATTATTTCTAATAAATAATTGTTTAAATATTAATAATAAGTTTTATAAGCATATAATTTGTTTATATTAAAATTAAATAGATAAACAATATAAATTACATGTAATATATTATTATAATAAATAAAATTTATGTTTAAAAAAACAATATAATTTATAAATTATTAAATAATATACAGTTTATAAATATATATATATATATATACAGTATTATATAAATATTATTATATTTTATCGCATACTTAAAGTAAATTAAGAGACAGTCAGTCATTTGATAGACATTTTTTTAGCAATAATAATGATAACAATTATTTTATTATACTAAACACTGGGTTAAATTTATAGTTAATTTATATATATATATAGTTTTATTAATACTTTATTTAACACCGACTGATAAAATTTAAAAAATAATAACTAAATGATAGCATAGTTTAAGTGGAAATTTAAAAAAAATTATTTATTTATATATCATACATGTTTAATATGCTTACTAAAAAAAAGTTTACTAAAAAAATAATAAATTAATAATAATAAACTATTTTATTTTGTTTAGATCTCATTTAAATAGAGTACATGTAATATTATAGTATAATATAATTTTTAATAAAAAAATTAATTAATAATTTTTATATAAACTTAATTTTTATATAAACTTAATTTTTATATATAAACTTAATTTTTATATATAAACTTAATTTTTATATAAACTTAATTTTTATATAAACTTAATTTTTATATAAACTTAATTTTTATATAAACTTAATTTTTATATAAACTTAATTTTTTATATAAATTATAATTTTTATATATAATTTAAATTAAAACTAATAGCTAACCAGGATCCTAAATATCTGAACCGTGAACTAGAGGTCCTGCATAAAGTTAGCAATGTGTACCTGGTCAAATATCATTGTGAATGGTCGGAAATATTACCGGATAATAGTCGGGTAACATTCATACAAATGGAGTTATGTTGGTTTACCCTGAAGGACGGAGTGGACAAAATGCGCCAATACTTCCGTAGACAACCCGCGGAAATGTGGCCACCACTGGGCTACTATATGGCTGTCCAATTGTTTCGGGAACTGCTGACGGGTATTAACTATTTGCACAGTCGGCAGCCGCCGATCATACATCGAGATATTAAGCCGACAAACATACTGATCCGCGGTTCGGGCTGTTTGCCCGATAGGCCGACATTTATCAAAATAGCCGACTTTGGTCTGGCTATTGAACATCACTACCGGTCACAGTCGCATACCAGACATGTGGGCACCGATCGATATATGGCACCCGAAGTCAATCATGTGACCAAATATACTATTACAGCCGATATGTATAGCATTGGTGTTACCAGTGAGGAACTGTTCAATTATAATGTTAATGATACTAGGTAAGATTTATTTATTTTTTTAATTTATAATATTTAAGATTTAGTTTTTTTTAATTTAAAATATTCATGATTTATTTTTTTTTAATTTATAATATTTATGATTTAGTTTTTAAAAATTTAAAATATTTATGATTTATTTTTTAAAAATTTATAATATTCATGATTTATTTTTAAAAAATTTATAATATTCATGATTTATTTTTTTTTAAATTTATAATATTCATGATTTAGTTTTTTAATTTAAAATATTCATGATTTTTAAAAAATTAATAATATTCATGATTTTTAAAAAATTAATAATATTTATGATTTTTTATTTACTTGATTAAAATTTTAATTTTTATAGTTTAGAAAATAATTTTGAAGACTACATTATCTATAAAGATATTATTGATGTAATTAAAAATCTATTGGCACCATGCAATACAAATCGTCAATTGTGCCAGAATATACTAGATAATAAAAAATCAACATGGTCATCTGGAAAATTTCTAGATATACTGCCAATTGTTTGCTCATCCATACAATTAGGCCCACAGTATCAATATAATTATCAGGGACAGTTTGTCCAATATTTTTATCAATGCAACTATCAATATTATAAATTGAAATATGGTAAATATATATATATATATACATATATATATATATATATATATATACAAGGAGCATTTTAATAAGCTTAATTAATTAATTCAAAAATTATCAAGGTCGACAATTGGATTTAACAAAAAAATGACAATGTTGTAGCTAATTTTTTTTAGATTGTTATTGGTCATTTTTTTAAAAATAATTAATTAATTAATTGTATGATTGGGCAGATAATTAAACAGTCGACTGTATATTATATGGCCAATTGAATACAATTAATTAATTAATTAAAAAAAAATGACCAATGACAATCTTAATTAGTTAACAAAAATTATCTACAACATTGCACATTATGGTAGTTTTTTTTTTAATAAAAAAATCCAACGTATTGTTAACCTTGATAATTTAAAAAATTAATTGCTATAAATCAAACATAATTTTCAAAATTATTAGTTTTTTTTAAAAAAATAATTTAAATCTATTTTATATATTAGTTGATCAATTAGTTAGCTGGCTAAATAAAGTGATTACTAAAATAAACGATATATCATCATGCCATGATGATAGATCATCATCGATGACCATGGTCCAATCAATTGATTCAATGAAAAACTATTATAACTATTGGACACTGACCATGGACAGTTTTCAATTGAAAACCGATAAATATAAAATATTTTTACGCTATCTACCAGATAAACTATCAATGGACTTTCAAAATCTAACCAAGGAGATTCATCAAAAAGAATACATGATCAAAACAGTTATTAAAAGTTACGGTAACTATTGGCAACGTATCAATAATTTTCTTGTAGATATTCAATCAGCAATTGATCTTGTTGAATTATTAGAATATAAATTAGTAGCGGCAATGTATATGTCGGATAGCGAGCGGGAAGTTTCGATGATCCGAAAGGAAATTTCCCAGTTTAACGATTATTACGATCAAAATAATCTACAAATTACTAATCTAATTAAGTCTAGAAATTTTATTAAAAATTTTCTGGATAAAATTCAACAAAAATCCTATGTACCGTTCAATGTTGATTGCGTTGATAATCAAATTAAATTAATAAATAATAGATGGACTAGTTGTAGATTGATTATTGAAAAACGGTAAGGTTAAATTTATTAATTTTTTAGTTACTTAATATTTTTTATTAATTAATATTTTAGCTACTTAATTTTTATTATTAATTAATTAATTTTTACTATTAATTAATTAATTTTTACTATTAATTAATTAATTTTTACTATTAATTAATTAATTTTTACTATTAATTAATTAATTATTACTATTAATTAATTAATTTTTACTATTAATTATACATTTTTTTGTATCATGGTTGTAATTCTAATTTTATTTTATTTATTTTTTAAAATTTTATCTTGAAAGAAAATCCTGTTTTATAGAGTGCTATAAAATTTTACAAAAATATATGAAATATGCAAACATTGAATTACAATTGTGGAATCAATTAAAATTACATTTCCATGAATTCAATACAAAAAGATCATCAAGTATATTATCAGTATGTATTTATTTATTATTTTTTAAATTTTATATATCTATTAATATGTAACATGTTAAATTTTTCAACTAAAAATTTTTTTTAAAACATATTTTTAATTATAAAAATTTATTATTTTTTAGCAAATAGACATAACATTTGGCAACTATAGGCAAACAATTTTCAAATTGAATTCAATTGGTCAACAATTTCTAAATAAAGCAATCAACTATGATTTGACCATCATAGATTATCGAAATCAGCTAGATGATTCCCATAGATATTTCGATGAATTTTTTAGATCACCAAGTAACAATAATGTTGATAATGTACGCTATACTAACAATATGAAAGTGAAATTGCATGCACTATGCAAATTTGAATTGCAATTGACAAATAAGATACGTAAAATCAACAATATCAATTTAAATCAAAATAATAATAATAAATCAATTTTAACCGACCAAGAACAATTAGATAATTCAAATAATAATCATGAAAATGATGATGATGATAATAATTTTGATTGTAATAGGTCACCATTTTTAAATTTAACTAGCTACTTTGGCGATATTATCGACTATGTTGATAATGATACCAGTTTTTTTCCATTGTGTTTGGATGATAATACTATAGATAAATTAGACAATGATGATGATGAATACGATGACATAAAATTGATTGATAAAAAAATCGATTATTTAAATTCCGAATCTATTGTCGACAACAACAACAACAACAATGTGAAAGTCGATGATAGCAATGCTGACGTTGATGACAACAATATTATTGTTTACGATTCAATTGATATATATGATGATGATGATGATAATAATAATAATAATAATAATTTTAATAATAATAATAATAATCAAAATAACAATATCTATGACACTGTAGATCATGTGGACAGCAATTGTGATAATAAACCTAAAACTAGTAACTGTAAGTATAGTATCAAAATTATTATTTATTTAAATAATAATACAATATATATATATATATAAAATTTTAAGCATATCATATAATAAGTAACTTATAGTAATTTTTTTTTATAATAATAATGTTTGTTTTATAGAAAAATATTTTATGAAAATAAGATATTTTTTTACAAAATAAAAATAGTAATATATTAAACACAATAATAATCAATAGTAATCTTAATAATAATAATAATATTATTATAAAATTTTAATAAAAATATTAATATCTATCACACAGTAGATCAAGTGGACAGCAATTGTGGTAATAAACCTAAAACTAGTAGCTGTATGTATAATATTAAAATTATTATTATTATTATTATTTATAATAATAATGTTTAATTTATTGTAAATTGTTTATTTTTTTTAATATAGGTTGTTTCTTGTAATTTTTTTTGGATTTTACCCAAAATTAAAAACAATATAAGAATTTATTAAGAATTTATATTAATAAATATATATATTATGATTACTAGTGACTTGATTTCCGAAATTTTATTATAAATATAACTATTTGTTGGGTTAGCAAACTATAAAAACTTATAAATAACTATTTTAATTATTTTTTTAAAAAAATATATAAATATTAAATTGTAAAATATTGAACAAATATGTAATGTAAAAACATAAAAGTTATATATATAAAACTTTATAAAATGTGTAAACTGTTATCAACTCATATAACAGTTTTTTAACAATAGAAATAATTAGTTTATTTATATAAATCATTTTTTGTAAATATGCTTAAAACATTGTGAATTATATATCAGTTGCAAATATTTATAATAAAAAATAAATAACTATTTCAATAACTATTTGACTTTTTTTTAGCAACTATTTAATAGAGTATAAAAAATTATTAATCAATACACTAACTGATTACTGATAATAATAATATTTAATTTACTTTAAAAATAATTATTTTTTGTGTATAAAAATATACAATTAATATATTTTAATCTAAATTTTTAAGATTATATTTATTTAGATATTTTAATAGATTTATTGTTTAAAAAATATTTTCAATTATTTTAATAATTATAAATATTATTTGTGTAATTTTGTTTGTTGTGTAAAAATAATAATAAAATCTATTAATAATATTTAAAATAAAACTAAATAATGTATAATATTATTATAAATTAATTGTCATTAAATAAAAAATATAGTTTTATTACATTTAAATAATAATAATAAACTGTATTATTATATTATTATTTTTTTTTTGAAATATATTTCATAATTGTTATCTTACGTTAACTACTGTACAGTATATTAAGTAATTAATATTAGTTTTTTTTAATGATTCATAATATAATTATATAACTAAAAAAAACTTGACATATAATAATTAATTTATATCTACTACTACTACTACTACTACTACTACTACTACTACTACTACTACTACTACTACTACTACTACTACTACTACTACTACTACTATTGTTTATTTAGTAGTATTTCAGATATTATTTAAAAGTTATTACTAAATGTGTATTTAAAATAAAATAAGTAATTAAAAAATAATATAATTTAAAATCAAGAATATAAATGTATTTAAATTAAAATTATTAGTTAATATTTAAATGTTATAATAATTGTATATTAATATTAAAATTCATATTAACATTAAATGTATAATTTTATAATTTTTTTTTTTGAATTAAGAATATTTTTATTTATTTGCTAAACTAAATTATTATATAAAAACCAAATTGTAATTTTGAATGGTTTTGAAAAAATAGATTTTTCTATAATAATTTAGATAATAATACTGATTTGATACTAAAACTATTGAATACTAGTTTGAAAAATATTTTAATTAAAATACCAGAGGAGTAGCTCTAGAATAGATGATAATAATTATAATAATATTAAATAAAAAATAATATTTAACACCCGGTTTGATGATACGG